TTTCTTTCTTTCTTTCTTTCTTTCTTTCTCTCTTTCTTTCTCTCTTTCTTCCTTTCTTCCTTTCCTTCCTTTCCTTCCTTTTCTTTCTTCCTTCTTTCTTTTTCTTCCTAACCTGCTTATAACCTACTGATGGAAACAGATTCTGGGACCAAATCCTGGCTCCACCAGTTACTAGTTCTGTGACCTTGGACAAGTTGCTCAAACTCTCTGTGCCTCAGTTTCCTCATTTATAAAATGGGGATAATAATAGTACTGACCCTCACAGTACAGTCTCATAGTCCTTGGCCTCATGGAACCTACAGTCTAGGAGGGGAGAGCAACATTAAATAAATAATTATACAATTAATTGATAATTATTCTTGCCAAAGTGCAGGGGAATCGGGGAATGTTTCCCATGCAATTGTGGCCTATCTATTATTGTCTCTTCCACTAGCTTGTAAACTTCAAGAAGGCTGGGATCATGTATATTTTATTTGCTAATGTTTATCTAGCATTGGGAGTCACTCAGTAACTATAATTGGTTCAATGGGTGAATGAATAAAGTGACTTTCCACTGGAGACCAAAAGGATGAGTAGGAGTAAACCAAGTGAAGAGAGTGGATGGAAGAGTATCCTAGGCAGAGGGAACAGCATATGCAAAATCCCTGTGACTGGAAAGGGGTTGGAATGTTTGAGGAAATGAAGCACGGATGGTATGTCTGGAAAAAGCGGAGTGACAAGGAGTGTGTGGCAGGCTGCCCAGGGCCTTGGGAGCGCCATAGTGGATATTCTGCACCAAGTGCCCAGCCAGGGATATAATAGGGGCTGAGCTAGGGTGTCAGAGAGGCCTGAGTTCAAATACCAGCTTCTACATTTTCTGGCTGCATGACAAACCAATTAACCTCCATGAGCCCTAGATCTTCTTGCAAAAGGGACATAATAATTGTAACCTATTGCATGAGGGCTAGGGAGGCTTATAGACTGTACAGCACTGAACACAGTGCCTGGCAGACAGGTAGGGCTCAAGAAATATAGCTATAGTCAGAATATTAACATCATTACGATTGACCCAGGTCTATTTCATTGTCCCTGCAGCTGTTTCTTCCACATAAAGAGGGTCCCCATCCCCAGGCCCTCCCAAGGACATAGTTGTCCCTGCTTTCCTGATGTCCTGTTCCCACAGACCCTCCTGGGGCTGTTCTCCTTGAAGTTCCTGCAGCCAAGACTGAGGAAATAATTCCCTGGGCTCAGGGCAGAATCTGCATCCATGTTGCTAGGCAACCAATCCCTATCCAGATGCCAGCTGCAGCCTGGACAGAGGGATGAGCGTCAGCACTCTCAGGAGGGCCTCCTGGGGCGCTGCCAGGACCACAGGCTGAAACCAGAGCTGTGTCAGGAGAAAGCCAAGACAGATGGCTCACTGAGAGTCAGTACACAGAAGTGGAAAGCCAGTGGGGTCAAGGGCAAACCCAAAAGCATTCAGACCCCAGCTCTACAATTTACCAGCTCTGCAGCCTTGATAAAGTGAATGAGCCTCTCTGAGCATCAGCTTGCTCATCTCAGCAATGGGATACAGACCTAACTGAATTCATCATGAGAATTACATGGGATGATGTGTATGAAAATGCCCAGCACACAGTAGGTGCTCAAAGAATCTTGAAATACTGTCTTCTGTCAACCTAGTTACCTACTAGTTCAGTGTCTCTCGGCACTACTGACTTAAAAAAAAAACTTATTGGCATATAGTTCCCATATCTTACAATTCACCCATTTAAAGTGTAAAATTCAGTGTTTTTTGGTATACTCACAGAGTTGTGCAACCATCACCACGATCAATTTTAGAACATTTACATCACCCAAAAAGAAACGCCATACCTATTAACAGTAACTTCTGGACCCCCTCCCCCCAGCCCCTGGCTACCAGTCATCGGCTTTCTGTCTTTATGGATTTGCCTGTTCTAGAGATTTCATACAAATGGAATAGGATGTGGTTTTGTGTCTGACTTCTTTCACTTAGCATACTGTATTCAAGGGTCATTCATTTTGTGGCGTGTATCAGTACTTCATTCTTCTTCATGGCTGAATAATAGTCCATTGTAAGGACAGACCACATTTTGTTTGTCCTTTCATCAGTTGAAAGAAGTTATTTGGGGTTGTTTCTACTTTTTGGCCAATGTGAATAATGCTGCTGTGAACATTCATGCGCAAGTTTTTGCATGGACTACTGACAGTTTCAGCTAGACAAGTCTCTGTGGTGGATTCTGTCCTGTGCATTATAGGAGGCTTACCAGCATCCATGGCTTTCATCCACTGGATGCCAGTAGTACCCATGACATTGGGCTGTGACAACCAAAAATATCTCCAGACTTTGCCCACTGTTTCCTGGGAGACCCCATCACCCTGGTCAAGGACCATTGCACCAACTCTCCCTGAGCAGTTCCCCAAGCTTGTTCCCTGAGCAGAAGTACCAGGAGATGCTCTGAGGAAAATTACCTTCTGTGGTCAACCCAATTTAGGAAAAGACATACAGTCCACTTGCCTCGCTCCTGTCTCTGGAAATCTCTGGTGCGTATTAGCATTTTCAAGGCTCCCAGAAAATCTGCACAGCAACAGAAGTACAAGCTGTGGGATGTTGTGCAACTCACCCTTTCCCAAGTTGACTTGGCCAAAGAACCCTTTTCTAATCTTCACCGAACACCCATGACAGCAGCTCTGGGGGACATTCCTCAGACGTGTCCTCCCCTCTGACAACACTGGTTTGCTTGCCACTTTCTTGAACACACTCTGCACGTTTCAGCCACAGAAACTCTGCTCATATTGTGTCCCCAGTGTTGCAGAACTGTCCCCACCAGGGGACAAATCATGATTAGTCACAGTCAATCCCATTTCTCTCTGCCAACAATTGGTGTAGGTGTGGACATGTGGCCAGTCTTGGCCAATGAACTAAAGGTAGAAATTTCTAGAAAATATTTTTCTACTTGACAAAGAACTGGTCAAAAAGAAAGCTCTTATCCACTGAGTTGCAACTTCATACTTGGGATGCTGTTTTGCCTGGGGCATGTGGCAGCCATCTTGGCAACATGAAGGCACAAGGATAGAAAAGATGGCAACACACAGATGATGACCTGCCAGACAGGTGAAGGAAACTGGTGTCCTTGGTTGCATTGCTGAGCTGCTGAATCAACACTGCCCAACCCGCCCTGGACTTCTTGATCTGTGAGGTAATGAATCTGTCAAAACTTATAACCAATGCATGCCCACTAATACCCCTTGAGCCAATTGGCTTTTGCTGAATAACAAAACACCCCAAAACTTAATAGCTTTAAACAACAA